ACTACTTTAGGTTCACCATCCTGGCAGAGATGGAAGGTTCCAGAAACTTAAACATTCCCTTTCTGTCAGAATAACCCTCACTTCAGGGGTACCTCGGTAGTTTAGTCAGTTAAGCAGCTGACTCCTGATTTTGGCTTGGGTCATGATCTCAGGGTTGTGGGATCGAGCCCCCCATCAGGCTTCAAACTCAGCATGGAGTCTGCTTATTCTTCTCCCACTGTTCCTCCCCCTGCTCTCTCTTTCTATCTCTCTCAAGAAAATATAAATATATAAATATATATAAATATAAATATAGATAGATAGATAAAAAATCTTAAAGAACAACCCTCACTTCATGAGTCAGGCCCAATGTGTAGAACTTGATAGTTTCCATATAAGTGTGTTTCAATTATACACACAGATATTAAGGCAATACTCACAGGGCAGTTTTATGAACCCACTGAGGGGATAAGATTTGTCTAAAACTATCTTTTTTCCTGCAGATTGAGACTTCAGGCAGGTTTGCATAAATCTGCAGGTACATCCTAAAATCTTGTGCCCTAAATACCTTGTTTGCTTCACCCAAGTCCATCCCTGTGTCACTTGACCCATATCTCCACTTTGACTGCTGGACTACAATATCATCTTGGGACCCCATGAATCAGCATACATTTAGAGAACATATTTAATAAACTCTAAAAATTCTGGGTATTTTCCTCTCCTGAGTACCTAGTTGCCCTGGTTGGTGGCTTCGGGTCCCTTTGGGGAAAGCTTGGGAAAAGATTAAGCATATACTTGTGGCAATATTTTAGGGTTCATTTTTAGGAAGACTTGGCCTCTAGATCTGTGAACTGGCTTAGTTTGGAATCCTGGTGACAGACCAGGACCTTCTCTTGTGATGACTCAAGTCAAGTTTCTGGCCACCAGACCTAGAGTTTTATCTTCTTACTATTTAAAATTTTAATAAGGTGCCCATTATCTTCTACTCCTATGTATACCATAATAATTATTTATAATCAAAATATCTACGCAGGAAAAAACAATACTCAATACCACTTTGCCTCTGTTGCCTTTCAATAATCCTGTCAAAGGCATTGCCACTTGGGCCTTTCCCCTCCAGGATTCTAACATCCCCAATGAATTCAGGAAGTCTATCTCAATGCCAGCATCTCCCATGACCGTCTCTGGCTTATAGAAGACAATGATCTCTAGGGTGTTCTACCTGTTAGTATATTCTCAATGCCTAAATTAAGGAATATCTTTTGGACTTTCTCTGGGAATACAGTGTACATGTACGGTGGTGGTGGCAGGGAGAGATTAACTATGACAATCACAACAGAAAATCTACTGCAAAATATCTACTTACATACACCTTTTGATTCCTTCCTTGTTACTATGCCACAATAGTTCTGGAATTTTGCCTTCACTGAATACAGACTACCATTAAGTTAAAGTTTCAGTCAGTTAACCAAATTTGTAGAATCACTTCCAACTATATAAATTAAAACACTACATCATGAATTTCTACCAAGTTTATCATATCAACAAATTCAGCCTTATCCAGTTTTAAGTTTTCCCCTCTCAGTCTAAAACTCTTAGGAACTATTCAATATAAATTTGTAAAATCTTACAATTACTCTGGAATATAAGCTATCTCATCCTGGATGAGACTTTATACTTGCTCCCATCCAGTATTCTGAAAGCTGATTCTAGTGATGGGTCTAGAAACAATAGGAGAGGTTTGGGATAAATCTTGGGAAGAATGGACATCCTCATATGTGGCAAGTACCCTGAGCTAACTAATTATAGGAACATCAAGCACAAGAAGCCTACTATAATATTGGGTTTGCTTTTAATGAGGTTAACTCTAAAGCAAAAAGAAATAAGGGAATCTTTTTAGGGCTCTTTTGAGAGCCCTGGTTCTCTTTAATGGTGATTTGAAACAAGGGTTTAAAGACATGGGTTTGTTGTTTTCTTCCTTTAGGCTTCCCAGTATAGCCATAAAAAGCCATCCCACCCCCACAGTCTTTGTACTCATTATCATTGCCATACAATTCAGTATCCATTTGATCCCCTCAATACTTTACTTCACTAGATACTTCATCACAGGTAATAGTTCACTTAATTGTGTGCCACTGCATACCATAAGCAAGGAGGTCAGTACTACTTTCAAGACAAATGTATAAATAAGCCAATGTCCAAATATCATCTTTGAGAGTGTGTTTCCAGGACCACTTCTGGTACTAAGTATGCTGTCATGCAGCATGCTGTCAGGAAAACCAAACCAAACAAAGTATTTCAACAGAGAGCAGGTAACACGGGAAACTGATTTCACAGGTATGGAAGGACTGAAAAAGCATGAAAGAACTCTAAAGTAGCATGGATATAATTACAAAGAACAGCTACCACCTCTAAGGCTAGAAAAACAGAGGGGAGGGGTTGTGGCTATCAGGATATAGAAGCTGATAGAAGGCACTGGGACCCAGAGCTTTGAACAGAGGCACTGCCCCACTGGTGCTGGTAGTTCTGGGGGAGATACAATAGATAAGTTTGGTCTAAGAAGGCCAAAAGAAGCTTCTACTCAATTGTTGCTAGGTGTGTGCTGACAGGAACAGCAGGTAGAATATTACCCTCCTAATATAAACCTACTGGCAGAACCTCACAAGAAGCCAATTGGTAAAGAAGAGGACTCTGCCGTCCTAGCCCCCTTACCACAAATCAGAGTATGGGAAGGTAGCTTTAGAGCCAAGAGACAACAGCTTGATAACCAATATATTTTTATAGGAAGAAAACAAAACCACAGAAAAATTACATGGGATCAGGAACTAGCTTTTAATCTCAGCCACAGCTCTAATGAACTGTGAGAATTTTAGCAGGTAATTTCACCTTTCCAAGCCTTAGTTTCACTTAAAAAAATCACTATCACAATACCACCCATGCCTTCCTGGCAGGAGGCATAACGTAGGTGCAAGCACTCTGAATAAGTATAGAGTACTATATAATCATAAGCTTGTCTCACTATTATTATCCATACTAAATGGAGCCAGGAAAATAATAGATGAGTGAAACTCATAGATAATCTTAAAATCTTCTTTGAGACGGCTTTATATTCTTTTCCATCTAACCTGTCTTTACAGGACACAGGTAAAATAGCTCAATAAGCTCCACGTCTAGCCCTCTACAGAGTTGCTAACAAGCAGTAATGTGAATCCAAGGACAGTACCAGGGGAGAATGAGAGAATATCAGGAGCTTAGCTAATTCTCCCAATGAATGGCCAGTTTGAGGAATGAAACATGTTCACAAGCTATTTATACATGACCTGCTCTTCTTGAAAACTGAATTTGAAAACTTAGCTACTGCCTCCACGATTAGTATAAATTATAGTAAATAGTAAGCCAACATAAAACAAATAACAAAAATCTAAATAGAAAAGGTTTTGCTTTTGTTTTTGTTTTATTTTACACTGAGATCATGAATAGTTACTTGGAAAGGAAAAAGTAGATAAATTCATACATTTGATTCAATAATGTTGGAACTTAGAAAAACCACAAAATTTGGGGCACCTGGGTGGTGCAGCTGGTTAAGCATCCAGCTCGTGGTTTCAGCTCAGGTCGTGATCTCTGGGTCTTGAGATTGAACGCCCTGTCGGGCTCTGCGCTCAGCATGGAGCCTGCTTAAGTCTTTTTCTCCCTCTTCCTCAGCCTCTCTGCCCCAGCCTGATCTTCCCCTCTCTCTAAAATAAATAAATAAATCTTAAAAAAAAAAAAAAGGAAAAAGAAAACCACAAAATTAAATAATGTAAATAATGAATACTATAGTGCTTATAGATGCCTTTCTGAGACTTTAGGGTAATTGCCCACAGATCAGAGTTTCATTCTAGGCTAGACAGAATTAACAGAATTGATGGTTATTATCTTAGAATTTTTGAATAAAAATGAATTCAAAATTTAAAAAAAATTAAAATGAAAAATCTCTTTAAAAGTATATGAGCCCTTATTCAGCCAACAAATATTTACTATCTTCTTCGTGACAAATGCCACGTTCTAAGGATACAAAAATGAGGAAGTGCTCCGATATCTACACAAGTGCTGAGATGCAGTGTAAGAACAATAAACTTCACCTGAAAGTTCTAGGAAAGGATTCTCAAATATGACCTTCAAACTGAATCTCAAAAAAAAAAACTGGAGTTTGCAATTTAGAAGGCAGAAAAAGGGCAGTAAAGAAAAAGGCAGCCACATTGCAAAGGCAGAGAGTCAATGAAAGGCGGCCTAGGCGGGCAGTAAGAAGTACTGCATTACAGGACTTGGGGATGGAAGGGTGGGAGCACAGGGTACAGCAGTCAGAGGGATAGAACTGGAAAAGCCAGGACCAATGCATGAAGGGATGTACTACAATGCTGAGGAGTTTGGGCTTGATTCTGTTGGAAACAGGATCCCAATGACATCTTTAATAGGGGATTGAAATGATCTCATTTATTAATTTGCACATGGCAGCTTCAATACTCAAAAAGAATTTGAATTTGATTGGAGAGAAACTGGGGTAGAGGAGAGCTATTGCAGTTTTCCAGGCAATAGATGGCAAGGACCCATGTGCAAAGCTGTGGAAATGAGAATAAAGGAGAGGAGCCTGGTCTGGAGATGTTCCTTATCTACACAAATAGGAGATGCTTGTGAAAGAGGAAAGGCTGGAAGAGAATTCTAAGGTTTTGATATTGGGAGATTAAGAGTATAGAGAGTGGCAAAATCTTCCATTCAAATAGAGCAGGAGTCAGCAAACTTTTTCTGTAAAGGGCCAGATAGCTTAGGCTATTTTAAGCTTCTGAAAGCCAGACAGTCTTCATCACAACTACAGTCCTGCTTTTGTGGCACAAAAGCAGCCATAGGCAACACATGAACAAGTAAGTGTGGCTGTGTTCCAGTAAGACATTTTTATGGGCACTGAAATTTGAATTTCATCTAATTTTCACATGTCATGAAATATTTTTTTCATCTTCTCTTAAAGATGGAAAAACTATTCTTACTTTTCTGTAAGGACATCTAAGAACAGGCAGTAGGCTAGATTTGGCCCAAGGACCATAATTTGTCAACCTCTTCAACACAGAAAACATGGGCAGGAATAGTAGTCAGATCAAGTTTAAGGTGCTGTGGGACATCTCCATGAGGGTCCAGAGGTAGGTGTTCAGGTATGGGCCTCAGTAAAAGGAACTGTCCCAAATGCTCTAAAAACACTGCTCTTCAGGGTCGTAAAGAACCAAAATTGTGTCAGAAGGCAAATACAATAGAGAAATGAAAGACCATATCCTACCCTAATGCTGCTTGTAAAGTACTTTTTAATTGCAGGTAAAGCAACATTTGAGGATTTTATGTTATCAAACCCAGACACTTATCTCTATAATAGGCAGTTAGAAGCCAAGGCCAAAGAGCTAAAACATTTATGACAGAACTTATAAAAGTAATGGAAGATGATAGAGTACAGGAACTGTCCAAGAAGCAAATAATGTTTCATCCTTCATGGGTGAAAGACAGAAATGAAGCTGGATTTAATTTTAGAAGAGGAATTTCATTTGTTACTTGTCAAAAACACCGATGCAAAAGATAAATAGGAGTCATAGAAACCTCCTTCTTTGGCAATATGTAATACTACTCTGCAACATAATGCTTGTTAAGTAACATTCAAAGCACTCATAAATGATCCTAAAAAGGAATGGTTTACAATTCAATTTGATAAAGAAAGGATGACAGTGTCTCTGGTGCCTCCCTGGGACAGCTTCTGGACACGTGCTGCCCTGCCTTTTACAGCCACAGTGATGAAAAGTAAATTTATCTCGAGGTTGCACCTCTTACTTGGTTGAGGCGCAGTATCTCTGGTCCACACTGGATTTTTAACAGATGAAATATTTCCTAAACCAAGTAATTTGATTCTGCGGAGATAGTAACCACAGGCAGTGTAATTAATTTCTTTTATATCTTCAACACAGTGAGAAAGTAGATCTTCCTTTTCTATCCATAAGACAAAGCCAGACACAAATCACCAGGAGGAGCAAGGTGCAACGTGAAGATTAAGAAATCTCCTATGATGTTGTGGATCCGAGCTATTCTTCGCCTCACAATAAAAGTGAAATGTTAAAAATCAATCCATGTCAATTTCCAGTACAAAGTGGCCCAAACAAAAGAAGACATATTTAGTGTTTTAACTTACATTTCCCCATTGTCAAAACCCTATCAAAAAATCCCTTGATATAGTAACAAAATATTGGTGATATTTTCCTAGCAACTATTTTTCTAAAATGTTGCAAATCCTTACATTAAAATTAAAATGCTTTGGTGATAGTCTCTAGAACTGTGGCTCACAAAACTGTCATGTCTGTTCAAAATTACTTTTCTACGTAAGAATTACTGCCAAGTTAATTCCTTCTCAGTATTCTTCTACAGAATAATAATGTTGTTGATATTGACACTTTTTTAAAAAGAACATTTTACCAGGTGAATTTCTACAAAGGGGAATCAGAGATAAAAACTGAACAGCTTTTCTAGTAAACAAGTATTAGTTCTAAAATCTTAAGGTAAAAATCTGTACATATTTTCTATTTGTAATAGTCATGAAGCATTTACCTAACCAATAGGAGATAAGCTTGTGATAGGAGGAAGATAATTAAAAACAAACAGAAACTATTTTCAAGTTTAAATTAGAAACCATGATAAAAACCCAGCCTTTTGTACAAGATATCCCAACAACCAGAAGTGAAAATAAAAGCCAAAATCAGGATTTATTCTTCATATAATAGACCAAATAATTATTATATCTATTCTTACCATCTAAATTTAATACTTTTAATCACTAAATTGGCTGAATTAACAACTTTATTACTGGTAGAGGGATAGCTTTAAAATACTTTCCTTGGGCTAAGAACGTAAGCAGGACACTCTACTACAGGAAATAAACTTCTGAAAATAAATCCTTACACGATGGATATGAGTAATGAATACGGGCTTTGGAACAGCCTGAGCTGGGTTCAAAAATCAGTATTTGTGGCCAAGAAGCTATCTGTTCTTGGGAAAATTGCATTACTCTAAGAGATTATCAGATCTAAGTCTATCTAGCTTAACATCGGTCATCACCAGAAACCTATGTTATCTATCATTACCTAATCTGTGGTTCTCAATTTATCACATTAGTGGTTCCCTTTATATAACAATAGCTCAGCACTCTGAAATAAAATTCATCAATATTTTAACCTACACATTTTTCAAAAAGTCAGTATAGTGTTCCATAAGATATATTTCAATACGTAAATGTATGGATACTACTACTCTCCAAGAGATGTTGGTATCAATGCTTGTACCTATACAAAGAACCATCAGTAAGATGACACAAATGCAGGTAGATATAGATCTGAGTTACTGGCCACTTAAATACTGTGGAGGCACTGCCATCAATGACTTGATTTTCCAAACTAGTGAACGGCTATTGGCAGAATTCTAAACAAAACAAGGACAGTACTTCCTTAAACATACATAATACTTACATTCCTAAAAGAACGTAGTATAGACTAAAACTATGCACAAATGACTTATGTTATGTAAATATATAAATTTATGTTTCTGTAATTGTAAGTAGATCCTTCAGCTCTATGATCTAGTTGGATGTTCAAAGATCTTATGGAACATGGGTGGGAAAACATGTAACTGTGCAGAACTCACTCACACATTGCAAGATATCTCACATCCCTGGCTTCAATCGCCTTCTAGTAATTTTGTCCATCCTCTTCTACTCTTTCCCCCTGCACCACACTCTCCCCATCAATTCTTTACATAACAGGCAGAGTAATCCTTCTAAAAATGTTAATCACACGGTTTACTTAGGCTAAACCCGCCAATGACTTACTGTCATACTCAGAATACATTCAAACTCTTCTGCATGACCTTTAGACCCTGAATGATCCTGCCTGAGGCCAACCTCTGTTCATTTCTACTGGTGTCTTTCTTGATTCATGCTCCAGACACACTAGTTCTCTTGCTAGTCTTAAAACTTATCAAACTTAGTCCAGACAACTTCACCTGGATGGTGAATTTCCCAAAATGGAGATTTGGTTCACTCTTTCAAATCATCATCCTCTATCCCTAGTTCCTCAGGCTAAAATCTCTGACAATTATCTTCTTCTTACCCCAATGTTCTGTTTACCTAATAAATAAGTCCTTTTGACTTTACCTCTAAAACATATCCCAAATTTATCACAGCCGCTGCTACTATACCTGTCTGAGCCACTATCATCTCTCACCTGCACCATTTCTGAGCCCACCTAACTGCTCATTTATGCCTCCATTCTTACCTCTATAATCCTTTCTCCATACAGCATCCAGAGTGATCTTCAAAAAGATAAAACATATCATGTCACTCCTCCTTTCAAGCTTTCCACTGACATCTTTCATGCTTAGAATAGAACCCAAACTCTGGGCATAATAGTCTATAAAGGCTTTGACAACCTGATGGCCTTCCCTCACCATTCGCTTCTCTTTCACTCACTCACTATACCACTGGCTTTCTTTCTGATAAAAGAACAAGTCATAACTCATTCCCACCCTAGGACTTTTGCTCTATCATGGAATTATATACCTGGAAATTAGTGCAACATATATTTATATGGCTGGCTTATTCTTATCATACAGGTGTCCTTTAAATGTCACACCCCCAGAGAGATCTTTCTTGACCTACCAGGTCTAAAGAAATGCCCATTTAGGGTGTCTGGGTGGCTCAGTGGGTTAAGCCTCTGCCTTCGGCTCGGGTCATGATCTCAGGGTCCTGGGATTGAGCCCCGCATCGGACCCTCTGCTCAGTGGGGAGCCTGCTTCCCCCCCCCCTCTCTCTGCCTACCTCTCTGCCTACTTGTGATCCTCTCCCTCTGTCAAATAAATAAAAATGAAAAAAAAAAACCTTAAAAAAATAAAAAAAAAAAAAAGAGAAATGCCCGTTTACTCCATCTCACAACATCTTTATTTCATCATGGAATTGATCAATTTGTGACATTTTTAGTTTACCTGGTTATTTATTTATTATTATCATTTAATGTTAAAGGTGGCACCACGAAAGCAAGGACCTTGATGAAATTAGCTGTAAGTCTGTACACAACGCTTGAGTAGTCATTCATCAGAGTGAACACTGAAAAAAGAAACTGTTGAATAAATAAATTAATGAGTAGCTCAGTACTCCAAACAGATCTTCCTGAAGAAAATTTTTTGACTTTATGATTTTCAAACTATAGGACACACATCACCAGAAAACATGAGTTTGTTTGCCAAATAGCTCAAACCACTGAAAAATGTGGTAGACCTTCCTGAAACATCAGTTTTATGTGAAAGTAATTTAAAACAATACTTATATGAAAACAGATAAGAATATGTAAGGGTTTAGAGTATACTACTCCTATGAATTTTTAATATAAAACAAAAATTCTGTGAAACTTCATGATTCTAGCAATTGCTAAACAGTATGATTCTAAATCCCCTGATATATGATGCTATTCTCTCCAGTTTTAAGGAGTACATTGATTTTTACAAAAAAAAAAAAAAAAGAAAGAAAGAAAAAAAATTAAAAGCAAAGGAATGACTCTATGAACAATAATTAGAGCAAACAGTTGGGAATGGAGATTTTAATTTAGGCTCCTTTTTAATGTTCTATTTTTAAAATATCACCAGAGAGATAAGCAAAGTTTCCTATATGTTGGATAATTTTCATTGTTCTGAATCTTAGATTTCTGAGGGCTTTAAAATATCATGAGAGAGATAAGCAAAGTTTCCTATATGTTGGATAATTTTCATTGTTTTGAATCTTAGATTTGAGAAGGCTTTTTCCTTTATAGAAAAGCTTTGAGTGCTGCTGATTTCTGTCAATGGCAGTAAATGTTAACTATGGCACCAAATGCTTGGTGTATTTTAGATCAAGCCAGAAGACTAGGACCAAGACATATCCAAAACTTCTTAGCAAAGAAAGCCAAAGTGGCCTCACATCTACCTAACCCCAAGGAAACTAAGAGGTAAGGGTCATCAAACAGCAAAGCAGTTAAGTCTGATGATGACAATCTGGTAAGTAAGAATAAATAGGTGTTCAACAAACATTTAGATCAGCAGTAAATTGTGACTTCCAGTAAAGTAATGATGACATCTAGGAAGAAAACAACATCACAATAACAACCTTACCCCACAAACTGCATTCTGTGATGTAATAAGAACAAAGCCTGATATTGAAAACTATTGCTCTCAACATCTAACAGTGTGACTTTGACCAAAGCACTGACCTCAGTTTCATCATCTGTGATTTAGAGATAATAATACCTGGCTCTTTTTTTTTTTTTTTAGATTTTATTCATTTATTTGACACACAGAGAGAGATCACGAGTAGGCAGAGAGGCAGGTGAGTGGGTGGAGGGAAGCAGGCTCTCTGCTAAGCAAAGAGCCTGATGCGGGGCTCGGACCCAGGACCCTGAGATCATGACCCGAGGTGAAGCAGAGGCTTAACCCACGGAGCCACCCAGGCACCCCTCATACCTGGCTTTTAAGAAGATTGGGAGGATAACATTAGACAGTTTACAGCATAGACCTAGCACCCACCAAGCCCTTAAATTGCAGCTATTATTGTTATAAATTAATGCACCTACTGTTCAAAAAATTAAAAGTATCCTCTTCTAATTCTAGATTTAATATAAAAGGAAGTTTGATTTAATATTAGCAATGAATATTTCATGTTTTTTAGAAGAAATTGTTTTAATAAAAGTTGATACCCTAGTTCTGCCAGACATCCAAAATTATATCCAATACTTTAAAAAGTCTAAGCCATCTAATACTTGGTTTTAAAGCAGAAATGTATTCAGAGATTTTCTTTGCCAAGCAGACTGAATAATTAACACAATCCCAAGTCCTGTCCTAAAGTATTCATTTTTAACTTAATTTAGCACTTATTTTATACTGTATTCTCATTTTCTTCAACTTTTTTTTTCTGTATATATCTCTAAAAAGTTAGCAAGCTACCTGAAGGCAGAGGCTAGTTTGTGTGACTGCTTTATGTGAGTTTCTAGTTACACTATGGTGAGGTATGGGTTGGCATGTGGAGGGGAGTGAGATGAATTTTAAAAGTGTCTAACAAACACTAATCAATCATAACATTATGAATTCTTTTCCTTTTTTCTTGATAGAATGTACAATAATCAAATTATGAATTGAGTATCACCCTCTGAAGAAAATAGACAAGTGTTACTACAACTTGTTTAAGCAGGAATGAAATATTGAGGAATCAAAGTTTCATGGTTTCTCCAATTTGACATGGTGCTAGGCCTAGGTCCAGACTAAAATTTTAGTGGAGAAAAAAGCTCCACTATATTACAGGTTGAGAAAAGAAATCACCATCCCAAAAAATGTCATCCAGTAGGCCCCCAGCACCATCCTTCTGTATTTTCTTTTGGGACACATAAAACTCATTTTTCCAAAGAAAGCTGTGATTCCTTGACAAGCTCACATGACATGGATGACAAAGGAGAATTCAAACTTCCCCCATGTGCGGGTAATGGCACCTGAATCACAGAGACAACCCTACACCTATGCTTCGGACAGAGTGGAGCCATGAATGGTTTTCAACAGCATGGGCATTTTCATAACCCGCAGCTTGAGGAAATGACCTATAGGAGTGCATTTGGTTTGCTCCAGAATGTTCCAGGAGTGACAAGGCATCATGAGTGTCCCCATTAATCAGGGCTTGCTGGTAGAGTCACTGCATATTTGGTAAACAAGATAATGCTTTTTTCAGGAAATCATTTTTATGAACTTAATCTTGACTTGCACCTTCTTTCATAGAGTACTGAGTTTTCCAAAGATATATATTTCCAATTACATATTGAATGATTTCATTTATAACAGGAACCATAAGAGGGGTGACCATATATTTTGTTGTCCAAATTGGGACACTTTTGAGAGCAAAAAGGGAAACTATTAATAATTACTCCAAACAGAAAGAAAGAAGTCATGCATTTATCTTGGAAGAAAAATAGTTTAAAGCAGGCATATACTCATTTATGCAAATTTGAAGACTAAAACTTGAATACTACAGGAAGAAAAAGATTTTCTGTGATGGAGGAAGAGTGATAATGAGATACAAGAGTTGAAGGGAAGGAAATAGCAGAAAGAAAATAATATTTATCCATGGCTCGCTTTGGGCCAAGCTTTTAAAAAATAAAACTCCAGGGGTGCCTGGGTGGTTCAGTGGATTAAAGCCTCTGCCTTCCGCTCAGGTCATGATCCCAGGATTCTGGGATTGAGCTCCGCATCGGGCTCTCTGCTTGGCGGGGAGCCTGCATCCTCCTCTCTCTCTGCCTGCCTCTCTGTCTACTTGTGATGTCTGTCAAATAAATAAATAAATAAATCTTTCAAAAAGAAAACTCCAATAACATGTGAAGTTGTGATAATATGTTAGACAACAATCTGTGACATAGTTATTAGTCCCATTTTTCAGGTAAGGAAACTGACATGAAAAAGGTTAACTCTTAGGGCACCCGGGTGGCTCAACTGGTTAAGCGGCTGACTTCGGCTCGGGTCATGATTCCAGGGTCCTGGGATCGAGCCCTGCATCGGGCTCCCTGCTCAGCAGAGAGCCTGCTTCTCTCTCTGCCCCTCTCCCTGCCACTCTGCTTACTTGTGCTCTCTCTCTAGCTCTCTGTCAAATAAACAAATAAAATATTAAAAAAAAAAAAAAGGTTAACTCTCTTGCCAAAGACACTTAGATAAAAAGCCAGGACTTGGATTCAAACAAGGTGCCAGCTCATTAAATTTTTTTCCAAGGTCACTCTGATTTTAGCATTACATTTCCATTTTACAAATGAGGAAACTGAGACTCAGAGACAGTGCCCTGTTTGCAGATTCACTATAATAAGGAATGTGGATTCAAATTCAGGCCTGCATGATTCTAAAGCCAGTGTGTTTCTATCAAAGTATTGACTGGGCTTTTGTTCAGAGACTAAGGTTTTGTTCGGTTAGCTTTGATTTGTTGTTGTTGTTGTTGTTGTTTGTTTGCTTGTTTTCGAGCGGACTGGGAAATGGAATTCTTCCCCTCTTCTTGCTTTGACTCTGCTAAGCTCATTTCAACTCTGAACTTTTCTCTCCTTGCCTCTCACTTGCCTTTTTTTTTTTTTTATATCACTCTTTCTCAGAGCTCCTTCTAAATATTTAATCAAGATGCCTGACCTGGGCTTGTTGGAAACCTTAGCTTACTGGTAAGGAGCTTCAGTGACTTATCCCTCACATCACTTACAGGCTGTGTTTTGTCCAAGGGTGGTTTGTTGAAATCCCCTTCTTTTCTATCCAATTCATTCAGCATGGGTCATCTGATCCTCCAAAGCAACTTATGCCCCCAGCATCCCTTTCTTCCATACTCATCCTTCTTTCAACTTGGCTTGAGAGGTTATCATCACTCTTTTCTAAACAGCATGAAAATCTATAAACTACACATGTACCCAAATGATGCA